TCTTTAAAGCCCCTTCCAACTCAAAGCATTCTGTGCATCCGCATGCTGTATGAATCTTTGTTGGGAACTAAGGAGAGGAGAGCAGGGACAAGTTAAATCACCTTTGTGCCCTCGAGTCTCTCTCGCATGAGGTGTTTGTACCAGAGGCTTTTAGCTGCATCTCCTGCAGAGGGGAGATGGGTCAGAAGCTCATGCCCTATGAGTGTTGCCCCTCCGGCGTGTGTAATCCGGGGTCTTACCTTCAGCATTGCTGGTTGGGTTCCTGAATCTGAGTGATGTGCTTTCCAGCCACTGTTCAGTTTTATGCTTTCTTTGCAAAGCCCTCAGCTTCAGTTAGCACATACCTGATTTAAAGTTTGAAAGAAAGCAAAAAGGAGAGGCCAGAAAAGCTCATTACATTTTCACCCTTTGGACTGCACCCATTTTAAAAGCTATCACTGAAAACCAAAAATATATGGCTTAAAAAGTTGTTTCCACCCCCACCCCCTTCATTAAGGTTTTTGGTGATAGCTTGTCTACCAGTCTGAACATTTCCTCAGCTCTTAGCTATGGCTGAGGGGACAGATGTGTTTCCCAGCTGTGGAGCTCAGCTTAGCAGAGGGAAGACCTCTCTGCTGAGTGGGTTTCTGTGTTAAAATAGAAAGCAGGATTAGAACTTGAAGCGAGGTTAGTTCTGAGGTGAGGAGAACCTGTTTGCTGTAAGTGGTTAGTTTATATCTTTTAAGCTTGTGTATTGCTATTTAGTTAAGCTGTATGCAGGCATCGGTGGGATGTGCTGATTACCAAACTGTTTAAAAACAAATCCTAAAGGAGAAAAATTACGCTGCCTTTGTATTAGCATGTCTACAGCAGGTGTAATTTAACATTGTCAACTCTGTTCAAACAGACAGGGAATGTGGGCTGTTTAGTTATTTTAATTGTCTTTTGTTGAAATACTAAATAGTAATTTCTTATCTGAATAGTGCTATAAGGAATCGGATGAGGGTAAACAGGAAAAAGACATAATTACATTGGTTAAAATTCACACCACAGGTCACACCAAAAGATGTTCTTTTGTAAACAAGGCTTGTGTTTGACCTTACAGCTGGGTTCAGCTGTGTCCGTTGTCAGCAACAGATCATTTTTGTAGTATAGCCAAGGCATTAAAACAAAGGCAGTAATCAGTCTTGTTGCACAGCTTGGTGACAAAGGTGGCATTATACTGATGGATGAAGCGAAGTGGGTTTTAGTCCTGTGTAGCAAGAGGAGGCAAGAATATTGGTTGATACAAGTATTTTTCTGTATTTTTGTTGCCAGCTGTTATACAAGTATTGAAATACTGTTTCCTTCTTAAAAACAATAATAAAAAAATTCAAGTCTAAACCGTTGAAACCTCTTTTCGGTACTGCTGGGTTATGTGCATTGTTGTTTATACTTTTAAGTACTATTGTGGCACAAGTAAAACACATTCAAAAGTGAGTTTCCATATCTGGGAGACTCCTAGTTCTTTGCCATTTGTGTAGCTCTTGAGGGAGAGTAGCAGAAAACACTTTCTCTAGGAAACAGAAAGAGCTACATGTTTCATCTTCTTTCTTTATAATTGGGATGATTAAGAATCCCAACTGAAAAGTGGACTTCAGAAAGTACAGGATCTTGCTTTGTGTGTGAGCTACCCTGCTGTCAAACTGTTGCATGTCTCGCTCCTCTGGGAAAGACAGGTGTTGACCCTACAGCTTATGATTAGCTACCATAACTGAGAGGAGGCTGTCTTCCAAGAAGGTCCTTGCCCCAGCCGCTTCCCCCATGTTACTACTACTGGAAATACAACAGAGGTTTCATGTGAAAAAATTGTGAAGGGCATATGCAATTTAGAGTGTGAGGAGAAAGACGTTCCAGAGTAATTGGTCTGGACAATGGCACCTTCTGTCTGGGGAGCTGGGAACTCTGCTGCCTGTGGCTTTATTTATATTTATGTCTGTAAAGTGTATAAAACAGTTACACTTCTAAGTTTTGGTTTTTTAAAAAAAAACAACACCAAACAAGCTGTGATGAGTGCTTGATGCAAGTTCCACATCTATCTAGAAAGCCATACCCTCTGGCATTGCTACACTGACTCTCTTCACCATTTCTGTGGGAGCATGGGTCTGTTGAACTCAGCCCAGATAACTTGTTGAGGTATTTATTTACAGTGGAATGTCTTGGGGGCTTTTTTTGTTTGTTATGGGTGAGGTTTTTTTTGTTTTGGTTTGGTTTTTTGCTTTTCTTCCAGTGGAAACCCTAATTCCTGCAGATAATGTGCCTTCCTCCAAATGCTTTTTTATTCTTTGATTGTGAGGGATATTGTAGTCAGCATTTTCTTACCCTTTATCAGCTTATCTCTGCAGTGATTCCCCACAGTGAGTCAGGGAAACCCAATGCTTCATTAAAAACTTGTGTCATCTTTTGAAAGAATACTTTGCTTTCAGTAAACAATAACAAACACACACAAGCACAACCTAACTGCATTTAAGTCAGTTGAAGGTAATTGCAAGATTGAAATACTCCTTTATTATTTGTTTGGGATCAATATAATTTGAGAATTTCAATATGCAACGTCAAAACAGCTGATGCAAGTTTCTGGTGAACCAAAGGAAGTATTGTTAAAACATTACTCTCCTTTGTCAGTCTTCTTTGTTTTTCATCTTGTTCCTCTGTTCTCTAAGAATTTGTTACAGAACAGTATTGAGCAACGAAAAGAGAAAAGTCTTTATCCCTGGTTGTGAGAATAACTTGTGTTTGTGTATATGAGTATTCCCTATGACAGTTCAGAAGTTAATTCTCAGAGTGCTGTTTTGCTAACCAAGACTTCAATAAAATTACTTGATTTCAGAACTAACACCTTTTAAAACATGGCTTTAACTTTTAGAATAATCTCTGTGATAGAGACATCATTCAATATGTCAATTGTATGAAAATCTTAATTAAATTATTGGTATAACTGATTAATTTAAAAACAAACAAAGAAAATAAAACATAAACAAGCAAGCAAAAAATAACTAGAACATAAAACTTGAAAAAAAACAACACCTGAACTTTTAACTAGATTTTTTTTATAGGGCTTGATGATTCTAAGAAAAGTTTGGCATCCTTTTTTGAGACAAGGTTAGAATTTCAATTTGTTTGGCTGCTTTGTCATTATTCATACTCAGAGTTACCAATTCTGGTACTGTAGATACTTTCAGAATAACGTGTTTTGCTAAGCACTGCTGGGTTGTTTATTGATGTTCATATCACATTCCAAACAGGTAGCTGGAGCAACAGTGTATGTAAGCATGACACCTAAAATTACACCTTCTCCTTTTTAATTTATTGGGTGTCAGCACTTTTTCGTCTAGTGTATTCTCATTGTGATGAGAACTGTACCGTACCGGGCAGGTTCTGGCACTGTAAACAGACTGAATACTTAGCTTTCAGAAATGTATTCTCAGAATAGCCTATGAATAATTTTTGTCTAATCGTACAAGGGGAAGAAAAATAGAAGCTACAGTAACAAGAGGACTGAACTAATTGAGTAAGAAAAATTTGAGTGTTTTAATGGATGTGGGAGGACTGGATTATTAACGGTCGCATTAGAGAAAAACACTGCACCGTCTGTTCCTCTTGAAGCTTATGGCTGTGTGTTTATAATAGGCACCACTTATCCTGAGGCCTGTTGAGCTTGCATTGGAGAGGGGGAAAAAAAGGGAAAGAAAAAAACTCCTTGGCTTTCCTTTCAGTGACAGACTCCTTCACTTATGCCAACAAAACCTAGTGTCTCTAGCTTCATTTTTATGGCAAGGGCCGTAGTCTCTTGCTCAGAAGGTTGGGTGGTGTCTCCTTCATCAGGGTTCAGAAGGTCTAACAGAGTGTCATTGGGCATTGACTCTGAGGTGTTGCGCTTTTTTTTTTTTTTTGCTTCCTTGTGTCCCATTGATGTAGTGTTTGTACTTCCAGAATTCTGGCATGTAAGACCAGTAAAAATGCCAATGACAAAATAAAATCATTGCTTCTGTTTCTATGAGCAGCTGATAGAACATGTAACCATTTGAGCACTGTTTGTGCACTCTCAGAAGTCTGAAATGGTGGTGAAGTTGTTTCTTCTCCTTTAATCTAAGATATGCCTGCTCCAAATATGTCTCTAGCATTTGACCCCTGCCCTTGCATATGCACTGCCTTATACTACTATGTCGTGGTGCTTTGTCATGTAGCTAGCTCCACAGCTCTGCTTCATGAAAGGATATTTTTAGTAGTATTGGCCAGGAAATAAAATAGTTCTACATTGCAGTGTTGTTTGGGGATTTTTGAAAGATACAGACTAGTAAAATAACTGAAACAGCAGGATGTAGTTCACCTGGCTGTATCCTAGGGGAGTTGGTAAGGGGCAAAGTTGTGTTGAATGTGTTGCCTGTAGATCTCGGTGGAGTGATGTTAGCTGTGTGTAGTGCTTGGTGGTATGATTTCTTTAGCTTCTATAGACTCTGTTTTGTTTTCCTTCCCCTTTCTAGAAAACAGTATTAAACCCCAAGTCTCAGTTTTGTTTTTGTCACATTTTTATCACGATTGGACAGTTTTATTATTCACTGAAAAGAGATGAGTGCTCAGTGCATTGCTGCTGCTGTTATTTTTTTCTCCAGTCAAATATAAATGGGATAACTCTCTCCCTGCCATTTAATACCTGCTTTTGACCCTTGAAACCAAGAGAGAGTGGTGACAGTTATCCTGTAACTTGATTGATGAAAATGAATAATTTTCACTAACTTTTTTGACAAATCTTTATGCTTCTCCCTCTGCTAGTTATCTCTGGACCTGACTTTCGCACTGAGGCAAAGCAAGAGATCATGGCATAACTTGCAGCAGTGATGCAAACCATTTTGGATTAGCTATATATGCTGGCACTGACTTTTTCTGGGGTTAAAAGCAGTTTCTGTTGTGTTAGTGGAGGGGAAGGAAATGCTGATTTTGTATTACAGTAATAACATATTTGTGTACCTCCTGACTTGCAGGTTGCATCACAACGCATAAGCTCAGTGGATCTTTCATGCTGCAGCCTGGAACACCTGCCTGCCAACCTGTTTTATAGCCAAGACCTTACTCATCTCAATTTAAAGCAGAACTTCCTGAGGCTAAACCCCAGCCCATCCACAAGTAGAGCGCTTAGTGAACTACAAAGGTAAAGTGATGCCATTCTACTGGTCATATTCTGCCCTTGGAGCCAAGTGACCACTAGTCTGCATGAATTTTCCTAAAAAAATTACTAGCATCCTCTTTTGGAGGATTGGCCTGGCTGTAATGCTTCAGAAATTGGTTAACTCTGTGTGTTAGAAACAAGCTAGATTTCATTAAAAACAATGTTTTTCATGCAAATAGAAGGCTATTTTCAATCCAAAATGCAGTTTTCAGAATGTCTTGTTTTTATCTACCTACTGAGGCCAGACTGTAGTTCTTTAATCTTTGACTCACATGAGTGAATGTAGGTTGGCAAGCTGCCCATCAAAGGGATGTGTCCCAGGTAGAGGCAGCACTACATGTGACTTTACTTAAAACTTTGTCGTTACCCTCCAAGCAAAGAAAGCTCTGATTTAATAAATTCAGCCTGACTCCTGTCCGCTCTCCACTCTGCTCAACCCTAATTCTTCTTTCCCAGTAACTGTGACCTTCCAGCTGTTCTTTCCACGTAGCTCATCCGAGAATGTAACAAATGGGTAGACAGCAGCATGATCGGTGATCTGAATGTTTTAATGTGTGTCCTGTGGAATCAGCAGGCTTCTTGTGTTCAGAAAGATTAATTTTTCCATTCTGAATATAAAATTGTGATTTTCATTTCAGTGGTAACTGAATTGCAGAGTGCCTCAGGATTGTATTTGTGGATGGTCCTGTTAAAATGTTTTAAACTACATTTTAAAATCCCTTACACTTTGAAAAAAAAATAATAAAAAATGCAAGATGGGTTATGCAGACTGTTGTATTTTTATATAATTCTAGTTTCGTTCTGGAAAAAACAAAAAATCTGCCATAATGGAAGATGAATGAACCCAGCAGGTCTGCTTCGCAAACAAAGCAGGCAGTGATTCCAAGAACTTAGGAACATAGTCTGGAGAGGAATAGTGGATTAAATGTCTGTATAGGTCTCCAAATAGCAAGTGGAATTTTAGCATAAATTCTGTGATGAACATGGACAAGTAATGAATACATTTATTTTAACAAATTTTTATCATTTTTCTTTTTAAATACCAGAGTGCAAAAGACTTGTTTATATTTTGTTCATGTAGATAAAGCTAATTCTGTTTGGTATTAGAAAGCATAAGTAATGCGATGGGCAATATTTATTTTCTGATGTTCTCTTGGGTACTCTAATTGTAGGAATTGCTGAAGAGTCTTGCTGAAAGTTAATGAACTGTTGAGATATTTTTTTGATAATGTGAACCTGAATGTGCAAGAGTGGAAGAGTTCAGGTGATCAATTAAAACTCTCCTATTTTTTGAGATTCTGCATCAGGAAAATCTGGAGAAGTGGCACATACCTGAGGTGGTGCCAAACTGATTGTTTCCATCTTCTGAGAGCTGGTCCTATTCTGTCAGTGAATGATGGTCTGCTCTGCCTCCATTGCTTTGAGTTTGTCAAGAAGGCACAGGGGAAAAAGTCTATGAACTTCTGGAGAAAAAAAAAATAAGGAAGACTACATAGCATTATTTCAGTGGATTGGAGCCAGTGTCTGGTGAACTCCTGCCCCTTGGCACTGACCTTTCGTTTGTCACTGCTGGTGTTCTCCAGCCTTATCTTCATTCAGCAGAGGAGGCAACACTCAGGCGAGTAGCTGGAAGCTGTTGCTGCTGTCCCCTTTGCTGTGCCAGTGGAAAGGACTGTGTGAGGTGGTAGCTCCTGATGAGAGTTAGGAAGAGCAGTGCCCCATTGGTTATCTTTTGCCTCCCAACAGCAGCAAAAGCACAAGCCTTGCCCAGGAGTGCTCTCCAAAACCATGCTCCTTCCTGCCCTAAGAAACACAGCACTGACTTCTCCTCCCTGGGGTGGGAAAACTTGAGTTTTACTTGTGCTACCAAAAAGCTTTGAGCCAGCTTTTCTGTAGTAAGTAAATACACCAATGTCTGTAAAGAAGAAAACACTATCTTTTTTAATTACTAGTGAATCTCAGTATGAAAGCATGTGAAAAGTAAAAGAAGCTCTGTCAAAGTAAGAACAGGAGTTGTCTGACTTTTTTTTCTTTTAAATCAATTTTCATATAGCCATTTTCAGATCTTTTGGGGGGTTACACAAGGTAAAACTTGACTGGATAAACAAAAAGTCTTCTTTTGTTCACCCATGTTCTTTTAAACCACTGCAAAGCAAGTACAAAATCTGCTGTTCTGATTTGATACTGTTGGCTTTTATAGCAAATTTTCAATCACTAAATTGCAGCCGCACACAGGGCACAGGACCAGTGAATCAAGTCCAGAAGTATTTAAGCTCAAAAATAACTATGGACTTGGATGTTATGAACAAAATTCATTGGCATTTATATACCTACCCTTCCTGGTACAATTTTCTATTAAAATCTGGTTAGCAAGACACTCTAGGAAAATTTGTCTTGCTGCAAGCAGCTCTTGGTGCTAGCTGTTCCTCTTAATAAATTGCATGAGGTGGTAATTTGACAAATGCTCATGAAGGATGGATTTCAAAAGGAGGTATGTCAAAGAAGAAAATGCCAACTTCTCAGCTACCCGCTGAGTAGACTTAAAAGCATGTGGGTCATAGTAATGAGATGCTGACATATGCAGTGACTTGGCAGGTGAAGTCAGGAATGGATTGGGAAAAACCCCAAATTCCTACGTTTGCTTATGCAGTTACTTCTTTCAGTTGTTACAATAATGTAATTTATTGAATTTCTGAATAAAGTATTTAGTCCTACCCAGTGCATGGCATTAGTGAAAAATCTCCATCTTGGGAACTAAATTACTGGTAGTATGTGAAGGTTCACAGAGGTATAAATGCACTTTTTTCCTAGTAGCTACACTCTCACTTGCTTTTCATGTCCTCTCAAACTTCTCAAGTTTTGTTGCCAGACCCCACAGGGCACTGTCAATAGGTGCACTGTAAAAGCTTTCTCCTCCCCTCACTCCCTCTTTGTTTTGTCTTGGTTTTGGGGTTTTTTTTAGGGAGCTCTTCTGGAGAGGTATTTGCTTTTAAATGCACACATTTAAATCAATCCAGGTAACATGGGGAGTGTGCTACCACAAGGAGTGGAGTACTGTTGTGTGCTCCACTCTGTGGGAAGATGCTGGGAGCTTTCTCCCACAGTCTGATGGTCTCAGAGCCAGGGAACTTTAATTTTATACTCCTTTCCCTCTTTCACTTGAAGCCAAAGACTGAAGTATTGCTATCTAAGCAGTAAGACAAGAAGTAGAATTTGGCATGATGTTGACAACAGTCTACTAGTAACAAACTCCATCCAGTGTTTGCTGTATTCTGCTGCTACATTTATTTTCTCATCTCTGAAGCCTTAGAATATTATTTTTTCTATTTATAATACTACAGAAGACACTTGGGATATGTATTTATATAATTTCACTGCTTTTATTTTACTGAGTTTGTAAAGACATTGAAGGAAGAGTTTGGTTTTGTTAGTGCCTCTTTCAAAATCTTCATGACTGGTTGTGCTCTACACAGCTCCTGCATGCCTTTCTGAACTCAAGGAAGTACCCTCATGTGAATACTCAGCAAAAATCGGTGATATTAGAGTAAAGAAAAATAAATTACAAAATCAAGTGGCCCCACAAGTGACTAACTGGAGAAGATTGCAAAATGCCTGAAACACATTGGGTTTTTTGATTATTTAAATCTGAACAGTAGGAGAACCAGAGATGGCACTAAGAAATGTGCTATAAAATAGCATTTTAAGAAAATAATGTAGTCTAAAAGTAGAAATTGCAATTATTTATTGGATTCAGTGTAGTGGAACTATTAGGCTATGTACAGCAAACATATTTATGGAATCCAGTTATTGTGCATCAGCCTAAACCAATTTACTTCTCTACTCCTTTCTGATGCAACTTCCAAAGTAAGGGGTTTCTTTTCATGTATTTTAACATTTTTTTGTTTGGAAGCCCACCTTTAGCTATTGCTTTCCTATTTCAAGTATAAATTTCCAATATAGCGAATATATTTTCACTTTTCTCCCTGGAATTTTTTTCTTCCTCTGAGGATGGTCTTTCCCCCTAATGAAGCAGTGTGCCCTAGGTAAATGCAAAAATTGAAAATTTTCAAGTACAGTAGTGTCCCTTCCTATTATATCCACTAACAAAACATATATTTTCTTTTCTTGTCTTTGTCGTCCTCTGACCAACTATGTATTAGAATAAAAGCTCTGTTGTCTTAAGTTTGGAAATAGTCTCAATTTGACTTAACATTGTGATTATTTGTGTATTTTGAAAAATAACTGCCTAGATTTAAGGTTATTCCTTTTTGTTCAGTGCAGTCTGGGTTTTGTTTTTTTCTTTTTTAATACAATCTACCAAATAATTTTGACATATAGACTCAAGCCGGTATGCCAGAGTTGTGCCTTTTATAGTTTTACATGTGAGTAGGGGGGAGAAATACTAGGATGACTGTTCCTGGTATGTTGACATAAAGGGCAGTGAAGATGCCAACATTGCAGTTATTTATCTCCTTTTTTCTTTTCTTCCATGGGATTTAAGAAAGGAATAAGGAAGTAAAAATTCAGATAAAACTATGTTTTAATGTATTAATTCAGATAAAGGATAAATTAATGATTAATGGGCCAGTTTCTTCTGACTTGACCAGAATCGATCTTTGCCTTCAAACAAAGTGACCCTTTTTTCTGAGATGACTTTACTTTATTTGTGTTTGTCTGATGTGAGCTGCTTGGTTTCTGGGTGAACAGGAGTCTTGTCCAGAGAAACCAAATGGAAATTACCAGCAGAGCTCCTCCTTCCTCATCTCTCTCTTATTTGTTGAAGACACTTTTGTGGCCCAGCTGGAGAGGGCTGCTCTTTACCTCACTTAGGCAAAGCCTTCACCTGATGCATCCAAGGGAATCTCCCCAGCTGTTACGGAAACAAGTCTACCTCTGTACATCAGTCTCAAAAATTAAGCAGGGCAAGAGGGCTGGAATACTTCATTTTAGTCATCCAACTAATGTAAGGTTTTTACAATACCACCTTTCTGGGAAAGGAGATGCTGTGACAAGTGTTTCTGGTGCTAGACTAGCAGCTCCCTTGGACAATCAGGCTGTGGATGTGGAGTCTGATGCAAGTGCAAAAAGGCAGCAAATTGGACCTTTTGTTGCCAAGGAGGAAATCGATGTGTCAGGTTTATATGGAAATTCTCTTTGTGATTAAATTTGTGGCCGGAGTAGCAGGTGCTCACAAAGATGCTAAGTGGGAGTTCAGCTTGCCACAGTGATGCTAGGCAAGTGCCATCAGAAATGCTCATAAACGGTGCAGAAGCCATGGAGCAGTTCTGCTCAGCTTGAAATTATGTTTAGCTGCAGCCACAGCACAGTCATGAGACAGCCCAAATACCGGGACAGTATTGGCAAAGCGATTATTTTCCTTAAACTGAGGCCCTTGTTAAGCCACGTCTTCTGGTTTGGGTGTAGTAAAACAGTGCTGTTTAATTGCTTTTGGTAGGAACAGGGCAAGACTGGTTTTGTCAGATGACTCTGTTATGGCTGCATTTCAATGACAACCAACTGGAATATACTATTCCCCCTCCTCTCCAAACACAGTAGAACACAAATGCACTACTATGTAATGGAAATTCTTCTGCTGTGCACATTGTGTAGATCTGAATTTGAAATTAGCGTGTCAGTTCATCGCTTTGCCGTGATACAAACTTCTCTTATTAGTCTCTCTCCTCATTTCACGTATGTCAAACTAAAACCACTTCTGAAGTGGCAGCTTTGGGATTAAGTAAGTGGGCATTTTTTTGGCTCAGTTATGGCAATTAGTGTTCAGTCATATTGCATGTTTAAACCCAAAGGTTGATATGTCAACATTTTGCTCTAGCTTAAAGTAGAACTGTTTTTTGGATCAGAGGAGTGAGTGTTTTTATATTGGTCATTACAACATAAATCCTAGTAAGCTAACTGAACACAGCATGTTAAGAGATGCTTTTCTTTGGGTTGACTTTTGTTAACATATATTGAAGTCTAGAACGAGGGAAGGAAGGAAAACAGTTAAGAAAACCATACGGATGGACTTGGCATGAGGTTATTACACTGTCATGCCTGAAACAAGCAATGTTGTGCCCTTCTTACCAGCAATGCCATGGATGCAGCATTGGTGTGTGCCTCTACTTCTGGTATGAGTAAGGATTTGGGTGCGAGGAAACAGCAAAGATGTTTGTTTGTAGCATCTATTTAAGGCCTAACACTGCAAACTCAGCAGCAACGGAAAACTTCAGCTTGTAAAATGCTTCTCTCCTACATTATTTATGTTGATGCTACAAGTGACACTGGTGCTACTAACTGTAAATCTATCTAGATAAAAGAAGATCTATAAACAATTCAGTATTTTAAATGTGCAGATGACAGTGCACCAACCCATTTGCAATGTGGATAGTAGGAAGTGAGTGGCCAAAGATGAGAGGCAGACATACATCTTGACTTTAATTGTCTGCCTGGCTAAGTAATGTTCTGTACTTGACAGTGCTTCACATGGAGAAATGCCGTTTTAGCATTTTGTAAATGAACACATTTGCAAAGGAGGAAGAAAATCTCTTTCCTTGTCTTAAATTAATCTCTTAACTTTAAATAAGCTTATGGTGTCTGTTTTTCACCTTTTCTTTAAATGTGATTTAACAGTGAACTCCCCTTTATGGATTATTTGACATACACTTCCATGTCCATTTTCAGCTTTTGTATGAATATATCCAATACGGGATACTAGTTACCCTCCCTTTCATACTGTATAGGCTTGTTAACCACTTCAGTTTGTGTCCTTAGTAGATTACTCACAAAAGACCCTTAATAAGCACACATTAAAACATACATTAGGGTAGTAGAGATGTAATTCAGATATATTGGGGGTGTGTGATTCCCCTGCCCCCTGGGCTGAGGGCGAGTATACACAAGAATGTTTGCAGAAGATCTTAGAGCTGAACACTGTATTGGAGTTGGTTAATGTAATTTTTTGCTTCCTTCATCACCCACTCTGCCCTCAGTCCCAGTCCTCTTTCCTCCATGCATTAGCTTGATCTTTGTAATTTTATCTCAATATTGTATTTGGGGTCTTCTAGTAGATTGCAGTTTTCACTTGTTTAGTGGGCAGAAGCTTTGAGATTGTTTTTCTGATACTCCAGAGTGGCCCAGGTATAGGCTGTAGCCTCAGTATTGGCTATTAAATGAGTTAATTATATTTCATGGTTGACTTTAAAATTGGAATGGTTGCAATTTGATGTTTCTTCAGCAGCTTAGTTATTTTGACTTAATCTTCCTATCTTCACTACTATTTTTGCACTTACCTGAATACTGGGGGCAAAAAACCAATGTCTAAAGGTCCCAGAGTCCACTACTTACAGCACTCTTTGTGTTGCAGTTGATGTTGAGGAAAATGTGGGACAGCTGTTCCACCTCGCAATCACTCCAAATTTCAAGGCAGTATATCTGCAGCCTAAATCTACAGTTATCTTCAAGATAAATGCAGGATTTTGGGTTTCATTCTTATCCAAGCCTCTTTATTTTACAGTTCTCTCTCTAGAGATATCTTAGTCATTGTTTCTGCACAGCAGCATTTTTTTTCCTTGCAGCAGTATCATATAATCACAGAATATGCTGTGTTGGAAGGGACCCATCAGGATCATTGAGCCCAACTCCTGTCCCTGTGTAGATTCCCAAAAATCACACCATGTGCCTGAGAACATCATCCAAACACTTCTTGAACTCATGCAGGCTTGGTGCTGTGACCACTTCCCTGGGGAGCTTGTTCCAGTGCTCAACCACCTTCTGGGTGAAAAAACTTTTCCTGATAACTCGCCTAAACCTCCCCTGATTCAGCTTCGGGCCAATTCCTCAAGTTCTGTCACTGGTCACAGGAGTGAAGAGATCAGGACCTGCCTCATCTCTTCCCCTTGTGAAGAAGTCATAGACTACAGTGAGGTCACCACTCAGCCCCCTCTTCTTCAAGCTGAACAATTCAAGTGACCTTAGCCACTCCTCATAAGTCATCCCATGCAGACCCTTCACCATCTTTGTGGCTCTTCTTTGGACACTCTACAATAACTTGATGTCTTTTTTTTATATTGTGGTGGCCAAAATCGCACACAGTAATTTAATTGCAAGATCTCATATAGTCTCCATCTAACTCAGTTCCAAACTTCTGCCTCCAGCATGGCAAAAGGTGTTCAAAATCTGTGATAACTCTGACCATAATTTCCCCATTTTTTTTCTTCTACCATATTTGCACCAAAATACCAATAGCGAGCACAGCATTCCCTTGCTTGCTGCAAGTCTTTGTAAAACCTAAGTGTATTTGTAATCTTTACATGTATTTGTAACCTGTCTTTTGGGGTAAAACCCACACTTCACTTACAGCCCCCACGAAAATAATATATGAAGGCACTACTTACATTTTCATGTTGAGTTTTAGTCTGTGACATTAGTTTGATACCAGCAGTGCTGAAGCTGTGTGCCACCATCCTCGGTGAGGATTTCTAGGAGTTTTAGACATGAAAATTTTTTAACCTGTTCAGTGCTTGATGTGTTTTCTCTCTGTGTTTTCCAGTCAAGGGAGGGCAAAGTGCTTTGAAGTAAGAATGTGCTGGACTGATGGGTAGGCTGTGGATACACTGACACATGCTATCAGAGATTACTTTCATGTGGAATAGCAGTGTTCATAGGTGCAGTTTTGCTTCCATTGCCATGTTATATAAAAGCCTGCTTGCACAAATAAAGGACTTCAGCCTTAATGAAGAGAAAATGAAGTTCAAATAAAATGTCCTGGCGTAAACCATGCTGGAGAAGAAACTTCCTCCCATCTATTGGAATCTGACACATCTTTTCATTCACCCTTTTACTTGCCTTTAGGCATACCTCCCAGTGGTTGTTAGGCAACCATAATAATGTTGCTGAACATGCAGCCTGGCTAATTGGATTGTCCCCTTCTCAGGTTTTTTGTTCAAACTGTCTTGGTCATCTTTAATAAGGCAAGCATGTGCAAGTTGCTTCATTGGCTGATGTGATAAACCAAGGGGCTTTTAAGAGTCCCCTGACACATTAAGGAAAAAATTTTGAAATATATCCAAGCTTTTATATCCTACTTAATCAAAAGCGTAAGAATTTCCCACTGTCACTGCAGAAGTCTTCCTAAATTGTGCTTTAATTCAGCACGCTTCCCTGTTGTATTAAAACCAGCCTATTCTAATGAGGCTTTTTGATTGAAAGGCAGTATCTAGTCAAATGAATAGAGCTAAGCTGCATCACAAAAACTTCGTGTACAAAAAGTCTGAGAATTTCCTGCGCTTTGTAATCGGTGTCACTAGGGTAATCTTACAAGCAAGAACTGCGTTGAGAAAAATAGCAGTGCTTTAGTACAGGATGAGATGCCACTGAACTGACTGCATACATCCATAAGGATGGCAAGGATTTTACTGTTTGTTACACTTGCAGGAAAATATATAGTGTGTTGTTCAGGAGAGCCTGTTTCTTAATGCCAGCTTAATGTGAGTGAGCTGTTGCAAGTGGTGTTGAACTTGTGTCAATTAGTTTCCATGGTTGTTCTGAGTACCTAAACTGGAAATGCATGTAACTTGCATTTATATAAGCAAACTTACCTTGAATTAATTTTTTCAAGGCAACTTGATGTGGTTTTTGCTCCACTTATTTGTCTCCTTTATTTTGTTTTGTTTTTTCTTATCTCATTATAGATTCACCAAATTGAAGAGCCTTAACCTATCCAATAATAATTTAGGAGACTTCCCAGTGTCAGTCTGCAGTATCCCAACCCTGACTGAACTCAACGTGTCCTGCAATGCCCTCAGAAGTGTTCCTGCAGTTGTAGGCGAGATGCACAAGCAAGTACTTTCTTTATAACTTAATGTACACAGCCTGATGATAAAGGCAATAAGCAGTTTTCATGTTTTTATAGTTTTACTATAACAAACAGTTTAAACTCACTGGGTTTTGTCAGAGCAGGCTGCTGTATAGGTCTGTATAAAAGCAGTTGCTAATTGCAGGTGGAGGGGAAGCACCCTCTGTGTCTTGAAGCTCTTCCAGGTCCCAGTGTTTGACACAAGGGTCACCTTCATACTGAAGAAGATCTTTAAACTTTCTTGCTTATGTGCTTTAGTCGTTGCAGAAGTGGCAGTTTTGGGGATGTTTGAAGATACAACTGTCTTACACAGCCTGCATTTTATAGTTGCCAAGGCTTTTAATTATTTTGTTGCTATCTCCTGTAACAGATGTTAAAGCTTTATTCCTTAACATTTTTCTTTCTTCTGTCCTTTTGTATATTTTATGTCACTGTAACTGCAGCAGATTTGTGTGTATATAGGAAGGAAATGTGATTTAACAGGTCACTCACTTCCTTCACTCTCCCTTCCCCTCCCCTGCTTTTAATAGCTTGCAGACTTTTTTGCTGGATGGCAACTTTCTCCAGCACCTTCCTGATGAATTGGAGCATATGCAGCAGCTCAGCTACGTGAGTCTGTCCTTCAACGAGTTCACCAGCATTCCAGGAGTGCTGGAGAAGCTGACTGCCATGGATAAGCTCTGTATGTCAGGAAACTGCATCGATACCCTGAACCTACAAGTGTTAAAAAGGATGCCTCACATTAAACACGTTGATCTAAGGTAGGTATTCGGAAAAGGGGAAAAGCAAGTGAGTCTAAATTATTAGTGTTGAAACGGTTTCTCCTTGGCTGTCAAATTGCCACGGGGTATGAATCTGTTGTGTTAGTCTGTTGGACCGTGTTCCTGGCAGCATTATGTAACTCGCAGCACTTGCCGTGACTTGGCACTCTCCTGTGGGGAAGAGGTAGCATCGAGCAGGGTCCTCAGATAGGAAAATGAGCTTGGGGGGAAATTAGTATTTGCACTGAAAGATCAAAGGAAACAGAGTCTGAGAGACACTGGTGATTCCTGCAGTTCTTGTTGCTGCAGTGCTAATATAATGTAAATTATAGTCCCTGACCCAAAAAAGCTTCTGTCTGAACTATTACAGATGCATGAGATGAAGAAAAGGGCAGTCAAGGTGAAAAGACAAAAATAGTTATTAATATGTCTTAGTATGTTAAAAAGCCTAGTCCACCACAAGTAACATTATTTGATTGATGCTACCAGCAGACTCTATCTAACCAGACCCTTATTACAAATGGCTCTTGCATGGGGGGGTTATTAATTCTTACAGTTGTTGGGAAAGCCAGCTTCTGCAGTCAGCTGGGCAAGGCTTAGTTCAGAGCCTCGACCATGATGTCTAAATAATGATGAATTATGGAACTATTTAGTTTAGCTATTCAAACTAAAACTTAGTGTATCATATGGCTGTGTAGATCTCAGACTTTGCAATCAAGGAAGGGCCAGCATAAGTTAAGAAAACAACTAAAATAAATTGATATATTCTCAAGCCTTTATCACGTAGTGAAAATATGTCTGTGTGTGTTTGTATGCTAAAAGATAATAAATAAATTGGCCTCAGATTAGGGATGCTGTGTAGCTGGCCCTGAGTCCCAGCCCTGTCATTGTCTGCCACATCCTTTCTGCACTGAGAAGTGAACAGTGGTTCTTTGTAACGCTACCTGGAACAGTACAAGTCAAGTGTGTTTGTAAGCTGTACTTGCTGAACAGTGAAGTACTTTGCTCAGTGAAATCAGAAGGAAGCACTGCTTGTACACTGAAAATGGAAAAAAATAGGCTGCGGTATTGGAGGAAACATATTACCCATTTTCTTTTACCTGGAAAGTACAGCTACTCTGAATACACAACTGAGTGCAACTCTACAAAAGCAAGAGCCACAACAGAACTGTAGGTGTTTGCCTTTATCCTCATTAGGGAGACTAATGGGCCAGCAGAAGTTACAAGGCTGATCGCAGTGATCTGGTCAGAGCTGGGAATTTGAAACTCTTTGGAGTGCTCTACAGACTCAAACATTGTTAGGTTATAGGTAATCTCATTCAGTTATAAATTCTGGGGAATTTGTTGAGTATTTGCAGCGTTCAAGCACTGTAGCAAAGATGTGATAAAACCAGTTCTCTTCATCTGATGGACCAGTCATCTTGGATTTTTGCTTTGTTTTCATTCAACAACCGTATTCAGATCTCTGAATTTGCTTGCTGTGGAATGTGGCAATACAAGGGGCAAATATATGGAAATTCATAAATTTCAGTTTGGCCTTGCAATAAGGCAAGAGACTGCAGTATCTGCTGGTTAATTGTATCTGCCAGGTTCTTCCAGCAGATGTTTATGATAAGCCAGCAGGAACTGCAGAGGTTTTGTTCTTTTCTGAACTATCAGGTACAAATAACAGCCAGATCATCTTTTATTTTTATAGACACAGTAACAATAATACCTTCTTGCAGAGCTTTTCATCAAGTAGTTTTCAAAATAGTTTAGAAAGAAGCTTGGTGTAATAATTCCTTTGTCACAATGGATAAAACAGCAGAACAGATCAATCCTGCCTTTAAAATATCATAACAAAGGGAAAAATACTTAAAACCAACCTTGATCAGAACCTGGAGACATGCTAGTTTAATCCAGTCCGGCTGATTATTGGTTCATGATTGGTGACAGCCAACATGGCTTCATTAAGGGCAAATCATGCCTGACCAATTTAGTGGCCTTCTGTGACAAGGCTACAGAGATGGTGAATAACGGCAGAGAAATGGACATAATCTGCCTTTGACACTGTCCCACATGTCAGTTTGGAGACCATGATGTCAAGACATGGATTTGACAGATGCACCACTGGGTGGATAAGTAATTGGCTGGATGGCCAAACCCAGTGAGTTGTGGTCAATGGTTCAGTGTCCAAATGAAGGCAGGTGACAAGTGATGTTCCTCAGGGGTCAGTATTGGGACTGGTGCTGTTCAGCGTCTTTATTGGAGACATGGACAGTGGCATTGAATGTATCCTCAGCCAGTTTGCTGATGATACCAAGCTGTGTGGAGTGGCTGACACCCCAGAGGGAAAGTACGCCATCCATAGGGACCTTGACAGGCTGGAGAGGTGGGCCAGTGCCAACCTCATGAAGTTCAACAAGGCCAAATGCAGGGTCCTGCACCTGGGTGGGGGGTACCCCAGCCACAAATACAGGCTGGGGGAAGAATGGCTGGAGAGCAGTCCTGAGGAGAAAGACTTGGAGGTGGTAGTAAATGAGAAGCTTGACATGAGCCACCAGTGTGTGCTGGAGACCAGAGAGTAACTGCATCCTGGGCTGCATCAAAAGAAGTGTGGCCAGCAGGGCCAGGGAGGTGATTCTGCCCCTCTACTCTGCTCTGGTGAGGCCACACCTTGGAATACTGTGTACAGCTCTGGAACCCTCCGCACAGGAGAGGCATGGAGCTGTTGGAGAGGGTCCAGAGAAAGGCCACCAAGATGATCAAAGGGCTGGAGCACCTCTGCTATGAAGACAGGCTGAGAGAGTTGAGGCTGTTCAGCCTGGAGAAAAGAAGGCTCTGAGGAGACCTTATAGCAGCCTTTCAGTACCTGAAGGGGCTACAGGAAAGCTGGGGAAGAGCTTTTCACCAGAGAGTGCAGGCACAGGACAAGAAGTAATGGTTTTAAACTGAAAGAGGGGAGATTCAGGTTAGACATCCAGAGGACGTTTTTCACCATGAGGGTCATAAGGTGCTCGTTACCTAGGGAGGTTGTCGAAGCCCCCTCCCTGGAGGTGTTTAAAGCCAAGTTGGATGAGGCTTTGTGCAGCCTGGTCTAGTGGGAGATGTCTCTGCTCATAGCAGAGAGGTTGGACCCTGATGTTCTTTAAGGGCCCTTCTAACTTTAACCATTCTATGATTTTATGGTTTGTCACCAAGAGTCTGCCATGTAACTAAATCTCTTTCTTTTTGTCTGCAAGATTGAATTCCATTAGGAGATTGGAGGCCAGTGAAGTAGATTTTCTGCATCATGTGACCCAGCTGGATCTCAGAGACAATAAACTTGGGGAGCTGGATGCAACAGTTTTTAACAATGTTGAAGTATTACACTGTGAACGGAATCAACTGGTAACCCTCAAAATCAGTGGTTATTTTCTGAAAGCGCTGTATGCTTCCTCGAATGGTAAGTGCATTTTCAGGGCAGCTGCAGTGTTGTAATCTGATCTTGGGTTTTGTACCTGGTTCTCTGTGGGATGTTTGTGAAGTGCAGCACACGTCATCCGGAGGAATCAGGAGGCTCTTGACATAACCCTTGGATAAAAGGGTTTCACATCACACTACTGGTAGTTCTGAGCTTCAGAAGTGACTTTCAAATGGCACTGAGCCTGCTGTCTTGGAGGTCTCAAAACTGTAAACATCTTAGAATTTGGGCTGAAATCCTCTATTTCAGCAGGGAGGGGTCTTGAAGTTGTCAGTTCTTTGGTTTCTGTTAGTCTCTTGCTTCACTAAGGCAAATAGGGAATTTATTACTTTTCCTTGGAGTTGAGAAAGTTGGATCAAGTGGCTGTTTATGAGACAAACTAAAACTGTATTTTTTTTTTTTTATACCACCTCTAGCTGCTTACTCTGTCCAGAAAACTACAAAAACTGTAATGGGTAACTGCATTTGTATTTGATAAAATAATGCAGTCTTTTCCAGTTGAATAAATTCTGTGTTCCATGAATAAGATTTGTTCGATCTGTCTCTGGAAGCTCCTGTTACTTAAAATACTTAGTTTTTACCACAATTTTTATTGTTTGGAGTAGCTTGGTATGGAATAAACAAAATGAAAGCAAGAGAGCTGTGAATTTGCTGAACAGTCTGAACAGCCTTAAAGGCTGTCACCTTAACGATATCCAAGCCTGTGCCTTCATTAAGTATTCATGCCAGGATCTTTGTAGCTGAGAAAAGTTAACATAATATGAGCATGTGCTGTGCAATGTGAGCTGAGAACCCAAGTCAACCCATATCTTGCAATCAGCTGCCTATTTGATCTTTCTGTTCTTCCTGGCTATCCTCTCTTAGCACCTTCAGCCACCTTGTTTTAGTGTCATCTTCCAAAGGAACTGTGATGCTTGTTAGGCTTTCACTTTAGTGGATTTTCTGTAGCCTTTAATAAATGTGTGCTAGTGTTGTTTCAACCTTAATGCCTAAGCATTAGCTACCTAAAAACCTTAGGATATTAAATACTGTTGAAACAATCAAAATAAAACATTACTAGCAGTAGTTAAGATGCTGTGAAAGGTCTGTGAGGCAGTCTGCAAACAGGAACTCCACAGGGATGCAGAGGCACATGTGTTGTGTTGAAAAATACGTTGAATCTTGCCATGACCCAAAGGTATTCTGTAGCTTACTGTTCCAGAGTGGGGAGTCTCCCTTTCTGTGCCTATACTGCTAGTGACCAGTGAAAGGAAAAGTAGAGCAGGTGTGTGAGTGACTAATTCGGACAGAGGGTGGCAGAGGTGAAGTCAACAGCTCTAGGACAAAAATGGAAAATATGATAAATAGTTGTGAAACCTTAAAAATCCTCCAGTTTCTCCTCTCTGGTTAGTTACACAGTGTCTGTCCTAGCAAATACATTGTAATACAGCAAATGGAATCAGACATAATAAAGAAACTAAACTTAGTTCACGAATGACCAGATCCTCAGAAGTTTTTTAGGTTATTGACTTGTTCTGAAATCTCTGGATATTAGTTGCTTAAAGTAATTCTTATGGAACAGCCATTTAGGTGCAAACTTTTATCACTGCTTTTAGTTTTATATATATTTGTATTTATATTTATTTTTATTTTTATTCCCCCCCCCCCCAGAACTTGTTCACCTTGATGTGTATCCAGTTCCAAATTGCCTGGCTTATATGGATGTTTCTAGGTAAGAGTATGTTTTATTCTTGGGCCTGTAAATGACAGAAAAATGACATTCCCTGGTATTTTACTGGGAGGGAGTGGGGAGAAATTAGACTGATTTTCAGTTAGAGGATGGGCTTTTTTCCTACTGGCCAGTTGCTCCTGGTTTCCTTTTTATAGATTTCCTTTTTTTTTTGGTGCTAAAAGCAAAATGTGTCTTCATAGTTCAAGGAAAAGAGTTTCCCTGATTTAAACATTTCCTATCTTATAGAGATACAACACGATGATGCAAATGTGCACCAACATGAGACATGTACAGAAGTTCCCTTCTAGATATGTCTGTGTAACAAGCCCAGGTGTAGGTGACAGTTTGACAATTCACTTAGCAGTTGGGCAGCTCCTGCCAAGCTGTCCTCTGCAGCCCTGGCTACTGCTGGGGTGTTGCAGTTCACATTTGAATGCACCTGTAAATCTCACTTAAACAAGGGAGGTGGGATAAGGAAAGAAATGGAAAAGGGGCTGTTTTAATTTATTTTATAGTTTAAGGACTGAATCAGGGAAACACTTTATACATTTGCTTAATGTGTGTCTTATTTTAAGGAATTAATCTCATTCATTTAAAAGCCTGCTATAAGCACTCTTAAGCAATTGAAGGTGATCTTAACAATTAGTGAGTGAGTAAACCTGGGCAAGGGGCCATCAACTTGAAGTACTGTCAGCCATGAATTACACCCTTGATGCGCCTAAGTGTAGCACCCAGGTGTGACTAAATAAGTGTGATTTATTGAAAAACATTATTTGTAAAGCTTTGTTCTCTGTCTCCATTTAGCTGTAATCAGTGCAGAATGCATGATTTTGTTCACAAAACCCTTTTTTGCGCTTCAGTTCAGTGGTAGTGTTATGACCAAATGGGTAGAGTGTCTTTAGCTCCTTGATTTGCTTAGTTTTTGGGAAATCCATTTGAGATTGAAACAGTCTGTCTGAGGATAAGAGGGGTTGGTTGCTATTGCTTATTTTGATTAAAGGCTATTGTGTGAATAAAGTATAGGATATAAGTACATTAATTTAACAGTCCTAGTCGTCAACTTCAAGTCTGTGAGTGGCTGAATATTACTTGTTTTGCATCTGTCAGTGCTAAATGAAGTAGTGGTTGTGTGAATGCACATGCACACAGTCTCCTCTGTATATTTTGTACTGATAATTTTTATCTTTAAGGCAGGATACACAGGTGCCCACTGTGCCTAGCTGCATGTTTTCAGTGCAGTATCTGGAAAAACTTACTGCGAGAGAACTTAATTTTTCAAAGGGTTCATTTTGTGAAGACAAATACAAGAAGAGCAAAACACTTGACTCAAATATACACCAAAAAAAAGATTTTGCTTTATTCAGTGAGGTAGCTGACAAGTGCTAGAGTGGGTTTCAGGAATGAATTTGAGGGCAGTCAAAGAAGTGTGTTTCAATCATGTAGGGTGTGGATATCCTCTCAGGCATATCTCACAAATTTTCTTCTCCATGGAGATACTCCTAATACTACTTCCCCAATAAGTTGGAAGCAGCGTTTTCCATTTCCTTAATGGGTGCACGTCTATGCTGTTAGCTTTCTTGCCCCCTCACTCAGGACCTTACTGCTCTGGTAGTGCCCATAGAGAAGGAGGGTGATACAGTCTCATAGGCAACATACTATGTAGCAGATTTATTCCCTGCAGGTATCTGTATCTGTCTTGAGGCTATATTCTTAATAGCCTTTACATCTTGATTATCATGTTCTTTATTTATAGAAATCACCTGGAAAACCTGCCTGACTGGGTATGTGACAGCAGGAAACTGGAAGTGTTGGATGTTGGCCACAATCAGATACGTGAGCTGCCTGCTCGGTGAGTCTCGCAGACCAGTTGCACAATGTGGAACAGTATAAGCAATTTAGAAATAATTGCTGATTCAGTGCTTAGCTTGTTCCAGTGACTGTCAGTCCTTTTTTATTTTGTTTGATTATTATTTTTTTTTACCTTGGGGGTGTCATCATGCATCAAGCTTCCAAATAGCCTTTCTTCTTATATTTTCATGCAGAGAAAACATTGCCTTTGAAATCCAGGTGGAAGTTTTGAAGCTGTTCATGTGACTGTTCACGCAGGAAAGACCTTCATTTTTAATACTGAATATTAAATATTTACAACCATGAATTTGCATGACAGTTTCGAGATCCAGAAGTTGTAACTTAGTTTCAGTGGTGCCTAGAGACTCCAGTTCACAGCCTTGTTTGAGTGAAAAAGGATTGAAAGGAGAATATAAAGCCTCATCAAGGAAGAAATCTCCTGCAAGTACAGTGCACTTTCACTGCAAAGATTGTATCTTTTCCAGGAGTCTAAACTGAAAATGGATAAATACATAGGAAAGAAGTTAACAGGAAGGAAAATAGGAGTTGAGTTCAAATAATGAATGGCTCTTAGTAGTGTTTTTTTTCTAGAGGGACTTGTTCCAAGTGAGTATACTGATCAGGTGCTAGTATTTAGAATTTTTAAGCCCCTGACTTCACTGGAAGAGAGCTGTCATTGTCTGCTCTGTATGCTTCAAAAGAAATTATGTGAAAGAAAAAAATACCAGGCACAGAGGGTGAAATTGCATGGGGATGTGCAGAGCCATTGAAGATTTTCAGACTGTTAGTATATGGTGAGCTATTAGGTATTTTCCTTAGGGAGCTGTACAGCACAGAAGAGCATCAGAAACCAAAAAGGATAGTTTTGTCTAGGTCAGATGAATGTGCCATATGGTGTAAATGGGCGGTTTTAGTGTCAAAAAAGGGAAGAGAATAGATTTCAGAAATGTAGGCAGAAAAGGATTGAGAAGACTTACCAAGCAAACTAATGGGCTAACATGTAGAGTATTATCCCTCTGTTTTTCCACACAAAGTGAAACCATGCCTACTCAGAAGGTGGGGGGAGCAAAAGTTCATTTGCCTTTTGTTTGCACTTCATAACAACAAGGACTATCAAAGCATTCCGGATATCTTTGGGAGATTAATGATTAGCTGAAATTAGGTACAGTCAACATCCCACTTGTCTACCCTGCCATCTTATCATTAACCCCAGAAAATAGCTTATCTTTGAAAGCTCTTTGTAGTATGTGTTTGGATAGCTTAGTTCCTAATAAGTCAGCTCCATTTTAAAGCCCAGTTCAAAACAGAGACTTTAAATGTCTGTTAAACTTTGGGAAAATTGAGTCAGGATTCAAATGCAAATGAGTCAGGGCTATAGACCTACAGTTAAGTACCAGATAAATACCAGCGTCCAGTAAGTTTGTTCATGTGCACTACTGTGTGCTTTTCCTCCTACATAGAATAGCACTCTGAAAACCTGTGAAGTGAGCGAGCCAGGACTCTCCTAGTATGCTTGCAATTTGACAAATGTTCAAGCCTTGACTGACCAGCAGTTTCCTGGAAAGCACCTAATCTTAAGCTACAGTTAATGCTGTTTGCGTTTGCCTCTTGAAATAGAAAAACTATTGTTAAAGAGTTGAAGCAGTCAAGATAGAGGACTGTGTACTAGTTTGTCTCAAAGAAAATAGGAACAATGTATACTGTGCTGTAATGCAGCCATTTCTGCTCTAGAAGTACTGAATATAACAAATAGGGTACTTAGCCTTAGCTATGCAGGACAAATTGTCATAAAACTAACATTGCCAGAGATTTCTCCAAATAAAATGGAAATGCTTCAATTAAGAGTTGCCAGAGTGACCTTACTTCTAACAGTGAACAGATGTGTGTATGTACTGTGGTTCCTTTCGTTCTGGCTTTTTTAAAAGATCTGTCTGTATTCAACATTTTGTTCTCTTGAACAGTTGCTTACTAGGGGAATTGGTTGAATATTTTTACCAAACCTTGTTTTCTCAGAAGATACTGATGCTGAGCAACGTGCTTGTCCTTAGAACTTTTAGAACCCATCAAAACTTCCAGTGGGAGTCGTGCAAGTAGGAAGGCTGCTCATAATTAAGAGCAGTCCCTGTGCTCTGATTCCTTACCCAGTTTGACATTTGGTGGCCCAGGCTCATCAGGAGCTCGTTTAGTTAACTGCTGCTGGTTCAAGTTCTCTCTAGGGATCTCAGTTCCTTTGGAGCTTGTCTAACTTGGAAAACAAGGGGGTGGAAAAAAACAAACACAAAACCAAAAAGCCTCAAAGACATAGCTCTTCTGAATTATTTATACGATATATTTGCATGGAAAAGTTAATTGCTAAGGTTTTCATCCTAATTTGAACTTTTTTTTATTTACAAATGACTATGACCCCACCCATTTAAAAAAAAAAAAAAAAAAGACAACAAAACTCCAAAAGTGATTATTGTTATTTTTTTTAAGGTGTGGTCACCCATTTCTGCTTTTTCCTATGTTTGGTGTTGATAATACTGGCCAGTCTTAGTTAGGAAAGGAAATAGAATAGAAAGGCAAATCCATTACTGAGAGATGAACCAAGTAGAAGTGGCATGAAACAAAAATGGTTAAATGACAAAAACATAATAGATGTGTTTATCACTGTATGCTAAGTCTTTTCACCCTGTGTTGAGCCTTCTGGAATGATACAGCTGCCTCTTGACTTGTGTCCATAGTCATAACTCAGACAATCCAGCCAACTGAGATAACTGTTAACCCTGGCATACAGATACGAAGTATGACTGTATCTGTCAAGGGGAAAATACTCAGCATACTTTGTTGATTATTTTAACACAATAGTCTAATGTCCTGATGTATTGTAGGGAAGGGGGGGAGAGGGTCTGTATGTGTATTTGGGTCATTGTAACAGAGGGAAGATGATTTTTGCTTTAATGCTGAGTAATTTGAGAGTCTCTGATACAGGTTGGCATGATGCACAGGCTTGCCAGATTAAACAGTACAGTAGCAGGAATGTAAGAGAGGTGGCAGATGAATATTATTTTTTTCTTTGCTGAAGGATGGTTCATGTTCAAAATCGAGAGTTTCTCTTTTTTGAGGTCTTCAGGTGCAGATTTAAAACTTCTTATTATGCTGTTTATACTGCAAATTTCAGCTTTACTATTTGATCAAAACAGTAGTTTGCTTTTTCCTGTTTCTGTTGCCCTCTTCCATCCCTTCCCTTCTCCACCAGCTCCCCAGGACATGGAGTCAGGGAATGAGACTCCGGGTCATCTATTGCTTGTAAAAGCTCGAGAAAGTAAAGCCGATTAGATAAATTTCATTCACTGTGGAACTGGAAAGGAGGCTTTATGTTAGTCTGGTATTAACAGAAAAGGAAAATGGGGGGTGGGGAATTGCATTGGATTATGAGTCAGCACACGATGAATAGAGCACTTTGAAGCTTGTGGGGTGCTGGGTGATTTCACCCACACTTAAGAAGTTCTTCCATTAGCTGAGGGGATCCCACAAGTGCCATTTTTCTGCAGCCATTGTTAGGAATCACCTCCTTCACTGTCTTGCTTCTGTATTCATGTTTTATACAGTGCAGTAAGATAACCCTTTCTCACTGCTTTCACTCCTGAATCATCCTTAAACCTCCTTCCCTGTCTCTGAGCAACCTTTTTAAGAAGTTGGTGGAGAGTGGGAAGGCATTCTTGGATCTGTGCGTAATTAATACCATGTCTGCTAATCAGTTGGCTGAATCACTTTCCTGCAAAGAACTGTGATATCACACCTAAATTCTCAAAGAAACTCTTTGCTTTAGATTTTTCTCATTTTGGGTGTTTTTTTTCTTTCTTTAAGGTTGTTTTACAATAGCAGCTTGCGTAAACTGCTGGCAGGACATAACATGTTAGGAAGGCTACCAGATCGGCTTGAGCGAATGCAAGTGGAGGTCCTGGACGTGCAACACAACCAGCTCCTTGAACTGCCATCTAACCTGCTTCTGAAAGCAGACAGGTAAATACAAAGAAATTTGTTCTTAACTTGTATGTAAGGAACCTTGCTTTGTGTGTTACTTCCTTGCTGAAGGGTAATGTGAGGTTCCCCTAATATGGAAGTTGCCAAGCCTCGTGTGGTAAGAACAGATGTCTGCCCAACTCACCAAAACACATTCTTTTTATTCTGGTTTTGTTGCCTTATATGGTTGCCTCTTTTCCTCACCCAGCTCCTGCTG